AATTGAAAAATCGTCAGCATCTGGGTCGTCTGAGTCAACTTACTGCAACAAAGAGTTTTTAAACAAAACCTAAATTTTATCTAAGATTGTTTGTTGTTTCTTCTGTGCTAATTACTCATGTGGTCACTAATACGCATGAACAAGTCTGACAATCCAGTGGTCTAGATTGTTCTTTGCAAATGATTTTTCTTCGCATTCTTTAAAACCTTGATTTTTATTTCTCCAGCTTTCATTAGTCAACTCAATAGGAAAAATTAAATTATCAATAATCAATTAATTGATTAGATCAATAATTATCTTTATAATTATTATATTATAATTGTTTGACTATGGCAGAAAATTTTGTAAAGTATTTAAGGTTTCGGATACCAATAGATCTTGGAAAAGTGCGTTACTCTAGTTTTTTTTGTAGATTTCTCCAAACTTTCTAGCATTAATTGCAAAACCAGAAAGTAGTATTACCCAAATAATGAAAATGTTTTTGACCAGCTGAAGCAGAAGTTGAAAAATCTCAGAGGTTGTCAATAAAAATTAAAATAAGTTTTAACTCAAATAAACAAGACTGAGAGTATTTTTTCAATTTTCTTAATAAGTTACCTGGGTTTAAAAAAGCTGTCTAGGCAAGACTTCCAGTGGTTATTGTATCTGCTCTTCAATCTAATCTAGATAGATAAACATTATACATTGTTAAATACTGATGGCATTATAATATAACAGCGTAGAATAAAATATACCATTATTATTTTATATATTTAATAGAATAAACTTAAAAAAAACTTACGTACCTTTTATAACAAGTAATGGTTAAATCAAACTAATATATCGTCGATATACAAGGGGAATGCACAAAGTCCAAAAGCATCATTTTGAGATAATGAACAAATACGTTTTTTTGTAATAGTTAAAATAAAAATTCCTAATAGCTCATTAATAATTGGTTTATTAAGTTTGTATGGTATATCAAACGTTAGAAAAGTTAAAATACTAAATAGTAGTATAAATAACTCCATATTGCCAAAAACGGACGTAGTGCATTTCCCTATAACCCGTCGGTATACAAGGAAAATGTCCAACCAACCCGTCGGTATACAAGGAAAATGTCCATATCGTCACAACTATTTGAACCTCAATAAAGCCAATTAAGTTTTTAGGAACTTTAATCACGTAAAAAAGTGTTTAACAAAAAAAGGTGTAAATAACAAAAAAAAATAATAATAAACTAGTCAAGGCAGAAATTAAATTAAGTTTTTGAAAGTTTTAAAAAAAAGACATTGGTAAAAAAAATTATATCAATGTATTTTTTTGTTTTAAAAATAATTACAAATAATACAATAAAAAAGAATAAATTAACTTACACTCAGTTTGAGGATCTAAAAGCTTCATCATTGGTATGGTCTAATCACTCAAGATCTAAGTAAAACAATATTGAAAAAAAATTTTTTTATAGTTCATCCTCCAACCAATCTCCTCTGTTATCCAAAAAAATCCGAAAAACAGAAATTAGCTACCAATGAACTAAACTGATTATACTATCTGCTACATAGTATTTTTTGATGAAATTTTGCGCGTAAAAGGAAACAACAATTTAACCACAGAGCAATAATATAGCTGGAGTAAAAATACGACATTTTATAAAGAAACTAAATAATTTTCAATTATATCGTGTAATTATCATAGCTTAAAGCTGATTAATCACATTTCACTTTTAAAAAAAAATCACTTTTTTAAAAAATTATATCGTTTTAAAACGTCTTGACCAAAACATTGCAAATTATAGATAATAGTTTAGAAAAATTCGTAAATAATTCGTAATTCGTAAGCAAGTTAGTTTATTGTCATTTTTTTATGTTGTGTTTCATGAAACAATTAATAATAAATTTTATTAGAATTAAATTTAAAAATGTCTAGATATAAATTAATAGTATTTTTTCTGGATTTTCAAAAATGTATTTTATATCCCTATATAGAGATATAAAATATCTTTTTGGATTACTGCCCAGAAATTGGATATATGCACATAGGCCGTGGAACCAAAAGGTCAACACAACCATAATCAATGTTTTTTTTTTTTTTTTTTTTTTTTTAAGTTGATTAAGGTGCCCCAAGAAGTCCTCACGGTCTTATCACAGAGCACCGCGGAAGAGCATTTAATGGAAAGTTCACGCCTCCTTCCCAACCGATGTTGCAAAACTTGCTCAGAGATGGGGTTTGAACCACGGATCTTACGTTTCTGAGGCGAGTGCGCTACCACTGCACCACGGCAGCTAAGTGCGCTACCACTGCACCACGGCGGCTGTTTTTAGAACAATATACAGAAAAAGACATTTGATTACTATTTCTAAATTTAGAAGTACTTCCTTCAAAGCTTGTTCAGTTATGGTGGATCACGAATAGAACTTGCAGTACCCAAAAACGAAGGGACCTTGGCGTCATGGTGCCAAATGACTTAAAAATAAAAAATCAAGTTGAGACAGCAGCCTCAACGGTCAATCAAGTACTTGGTAGGCTGGAAAAAGCATTCCGTAGTTGAAGTATTGTTGTTTAGAGAACATTGTATATAGCTTGTATTCGCCCGCACCTCGAGTTCGCAATACAAGCCTATTCGCTGTTTCTAAAATGCGACATTGAGACACTAGAAAAAGTGCAAAAGCGTGCGACAAAAACGGTTGCACTATAAAAGGATTTTATCATTCGCCCAAAGATTGCAGATATTAGGTTTAACGACTCTTGATGACCGCTGAACACGGGGCGACCTAATTCAGCAATTCAAAATCACTCAAAACATTGACGAAATCTTTTTTTATGTGCTACAGAAGCAACACTTAGCTAGGCTGAATTAAAATCTTCGAAGTCGCAGCCAGTGCCTTGAGAAACAAATAGTAAATCATTGCATTGAAAGCGACCATCTTTTTACAAATCGAATTGTACGTCACTGGAACGCTCTCTTGCATAAGACTATTGATGCGCAAAGTGTCAACTGCTTTAAAAACATTTTTTATCCAACTATAGCAGCTTTGTATGCAACACAAGAATATCAGAACAAAGGAGCCTGGTGCTTCCCCCTTCATTGATCATTTTTTTTTTTTTTTGGCTTTAATTTTTTGTTGTAATTTTATGATCGATTACTGAACAAACTAAACTAAAACTAAATATCTCTGTTGATGTGTATGTGTATATATAGATGCTCATATTTTTCTATGCATGGGGGTATATATATGTGTGTGTGTGTGTGTGCGTGCGTGCGTGTGTATGATTCATCAAGAAAATAACTATTTATCTCATAACTTAAAAAAAAAAAATTTATGGTACGAGCCCTGAAAGAGTTTATTTAAGAATTTTTTAAAGGTACAGCGAATTTAGGAGGAGTTGCAAAATACAGGGGGTTGAATGCAGTACTTATTTTACTACAATTGGTTTTTAAATTATAAGAGTTATTGATTCTACTTACAATTGTAAGAATGGTTGAGACATTGGACACAATATAAATTTGGAGAACTATGCGGATATTCACAGGAATCAGAAAATCTAACAATTTACTGAAAACACAATACCACAAAATATCAAAACACTAAACCAGGTTCAATTTAAACTTTGTACAGAGATTATGCTTTTTGTGCGGATCATGCTTTAATTAAAGCCTAAAGAAGAAATAAGAATTTTGATTATTAATACTTTTTGTTGTTGGGAGGATATAAACTGGGGTTTTAGCATATGACCAATATCAGTTTCAATCAAATCAGTTAGTACTTATGATTCGTAAGAGACATGTGTTGCATCATTACTCCTTTCATCACATGTGTTGCATCACTACTCTATTCAGAATTCAGATTCCACTTTTAAAGTTTAAAAAAAGAAGTGCGATTAAAATATGACTAAAATATAAATATGACTAAAATATAGCTGCAAATTTTATTGTTTTTAGAACAATATACAGAAAAAGACATTTGATTGCTATTTCTAAATTTAGAAATACTTCCTTCAAAGCTTGTTCCAAAGTCGTGTGGTAAATCTAAAATGTGATGTTTAATTAAAAGCAAATTATGAAATGTGTTTAATCGTTTGACTAATTTATGCAACAAAGGATCTCCTTAAGCACCTCGTTTAATTTGATGTTTTTGTTTTATACCTAATGAATAAAAGAAAGAAAAAAAAAATTTTCCCCGACTTTTTAAGCAAGTGATTTTAGGACCAAAAAAAATGCAAAGTTCTAAAAAAATATATCTCAAAAAGTAAAGTTCCTATTAAGTAGATAAATATACTGAGAGAAATTTTTTATAATTTTTCATTTTAAAGCATCGCAAGCTTTTTCTATACGTCTTTTTCTATAGTTAGACTAAAATACTGACATAATGGAATTTTTTTTTTTTAATTTCAATTCATTATTTATGGAATTAGGAAATTTTTTTTTTTTTAATTTCAATTCATAATTTATCTAAGGGCATAATGCTCATTAAAATCTTTTCTAGAGAACAAAATATTGCACAACATAGAAAAATGTAAATAAGATATTTGCACCTAACCTTGACCTAATAGACAACGTTTTTCTTTCAGTCTATGTCATTTAAAACAAAAACAAAAAACTAATAACAAAATAGCAACTATTGGTTTAGGATTTTGTAAAATTTGGTAAAAAAAAAAAAAGAATACCTTTATTTTCGCAAGAATATATATATTTATATTTTTTTGGAATCTATAATGGCTAAATTTTTAAATTATGTAACAAAAAATATAATTTTTCAGAAATAAGATTTTTATTTAAATATTTAAAACAGTAAATCAAAAATTAAATCAATTTAATTAAAAAAAAAAATCAAAATTAATATTAATAAAAAAATGAAGGCAAATTAAGTAAACAAAAACATTTAAGAAAAAATAAAAAGTGGAAGAAAAGGAAATGTCAAGCTAATATTACCAGATAAATTCTGTTTTTTCACGGTTGAAAAAATTTCAATAATTAATTGAACGCAGTTTGTGCTGAATACTTACATAAAAAGCTTTAATGGCTACATTACTAGAGCTTTCACAGCTATAATAACGCAGTTAAAAATGCAAAAATGACGAAAGTCCTTTATGTTTTATTGGTATTTCACTTAATGTTTTTTTTTAAATGCAACGCTAACCTCAAAATCAATGGCAACAGCAGTGCTGTTAAAAAGCAAGGGTTTAGTAAAAAACTTTCTTTATTCAAAGAAGATCAACAAGCTATTGCTCGTGAAATTTTAAAAAGAGCTCGAGTCAACGATAATAAAACCAAAGACCAGCAGCGAAAACCGGAAAACGTATCAAACTCAGAGAAAAATATTTTAGCCCTTCGTAAAGAAAAGTATTTACCAAATAAAAAAAATATAAGCTTAAACAATAAAATTGATAGATCAAATAGTAATCGCAAGGTTTTCCATAAAAAAGTTGATAAAACTTTAAAGCAAGAAAAAAATATTTTGACGCATAAAAATAAACAATTGTATAATGGAAACAAAAACCAATCAGAACTTCGCAATATGACAAAATCTTCAAACAAAAAGCCATCTGGTGTTTCGACAAGAGTTAGCGATGAATACCAGCTTAAACGACTCCACGCATTAAAAGCATTAATCCACAGTGTAATAGTAAGTACAAATGCAAACAATGATTCAATGTCAATCAAGAAAGTAAAGGAAAAATCTGAAGATGGTTTCAAAACCAAACTTAACATTAATCCTAAAGAAACTCAAAGTTATTATGTTTACAACGACAGTAGCGACGATATTGTTACGACTACCCCACAAGATTTAAAACGTCATCGCCAAAAGTTAAAAAGTGAACACTTAAACAGAACCGTTTTGAATGAAAAAGCTCTAGACGGTGGAAAAATTAACTCAAGTGCTGATAGTTTACTTAAAAACAACTCTAAACTTATGATTAAAAACCAAACAATTTATAATTCTGTTACCATGGATCCTGTTGATAAAAAACACACAGGCATTGGAAGTTTTCATATTCTTTTTAACCCAATGAACGACAGTGAAGACTATCTTTCACATAGAAAAGCAAAAGCACAAGATATCATCAAAAGCATAGAACTTAAAGTTTCAAAAATGCATAATAATGAACCAGCCAAACCTGACCGACCAGAGCAGCAAGTTCCTAAAGGCCTCAATTTAGAAAAAATTGGTTACGAAGATTTTTGGGAACGGTTAGAGATGGAAAGGAATCAAAAAGGCGAGACAATCAAAGAAAAGCTTGAAAGGTTAGAACAAGAAATGAACGAAAGAATGGAAGAAGCAAGACAACGATCTGAAGAGAGGCGCCAAGAAAGACAACGCCAATACGAACAAAAATGGGGAAAAGATCTTTATTCAAGAAATTCTGCATTAATTTCTGAAAACAGAGGTATTGATACCCCAATTTTATATAAAAATGTTTCTAACAGAGAATCTATGTTTAAGCCTAAAAACTACACTTTGTTAAATAACACCGCGTTTTTAGCATTCCACAACAAAAAACTTCATGATTATATCTTTTCAAAGTACGTTAATTCACCAAGAACTCATAGAGAATTCGATGTTAAGCAAGGAAACAAACTAATGATTTCTAATGAAGATGAAGACGAAGAAAACGCGTATAAACAAAAAATTCGATTTTCAGAAAGCATGCCATTAAATCAAGAAGATATTGAGGTTGGGGCTTTAGGGGATTCTCATCAATGGCAAATTATTAGCGAGGATTCAGTCGTGAAAGAAGATACGGTAAATAATCAAAACAAAACATCTGTTAAAGGCTCGCCTAGAATTAAAAAGAAATCTAAACAGACAAAACTAGTCTCAGAAAGTTTAGAAAAAGAAAATAAAACAAACTCATTAAGCAATAATATTGGTAACAAAAGTCTTGTTAACAATACTCTTGGTAACAATGGTCATGATGTCATGACAACATTACAAAATAGTTTTATTCTCCACGGAGACAACGAGGTTTTATTCAAAAAGCCTATAGATGACTCTTTTTTAGGAACTGTTTTTTTAGAAACGCCAGCGTCATTTAACGTTCGAAAAAAGTTAGAAAACAAGATAGAAGACGAAAGTAAACAGGAACATTTCAAAAAGCGACTTGATAATACAAAAGAATTCATAAAAAACACTAAAGATGTTATCCATTTACGAAAAAATTTAATTTATTACCCACGAGCAAACATTTTCAAACAAGCAAGAAGAATATATCCGAAGAATGTTTTGAAAACTAATGATAAAAATATAAAATACCGTGAGTATAAAAAAAATTCAATTTTAAACTAACAATTTTCAACACTTATAAATCAATGACTTTTGATATAAAAATAAAAATTATGTGTATACTTATGTGTTACCGGTAGACCTATGACACAATAAAGACATTTGCTCTTTTTGGAGTACTTAACAGCACTAAACAATCATTTTTGAAATTTTACGTACAGATTATCTCAATCGCCACATTCTTTCGGCCACTTCCGGAGTTCTGCCACTGTAAAAGTAGTGGGGCTCCAGTAAGTTTTAAATTTGACACAGTTTTAAAAAAAAGGTGTAAGTGACTAAACATTCAACGACATCAATGACATTTAGTCAACAACGTAATGATATAAACATTTCCGATGAATAATATTTCTTCAACTTTTATTTAGCACAAAATGAAGCATTTAACTTTCAACCGTTTCGCCGTTCAGAAGTTTCGAAAGATGAAAAAACTATTGACATTAATTTAGTTCTACCTAAACCAGAAACTCAATCTATCGCTCCTGCAACACTAAAAGATACTCAGCAAAGTATTGCAGATTTAATACAACACACGCTGGACAGTCAGCAAAAGTCATCAGCGAATTCGGATTCCTCTGATAAAAATATAATGAACCGCATGGTTTCAGATTTAACTCGTGCTTTAGATAGACAACAAATGACAAACGAGATTAGTCAAATAACCAATACTCTAGCTCAGACAATGATGAACACTATGTTGCTTAATCAACGTCCTCAAGAAAAATCACCATCAATTGAAAATCTTGAAAAAGAGGTTAACAGTCTAAAAACAAGAGCAGCAGTTCCAATAGAATCAATTGACTATGAAGCGGCCGCTGTACCTTCGTTGAAAGCCATATTAAAAAAAATTAAGAAAAAAAATAGAAAGTTGAAAAAACTAATAAGGAAAGTTAAAAAACCATATTTAATGCAATCTTCTAATATTATGCCCGGTTTAGCATCTCAAATGCCGACCGGAGGAATATATGGAGGAATGTCAGTTGCACCACAACCTCCGCCACCAGTAATGCCAAATATTCAACAAGCACCTGCACCTCAACCAATAATGTTTTCTGCTCCAGCGCCACCTCAACCGCCACCTCAAATAATTGCTGCTCCCCCTCAACAACCTCAAATGCTTGCTGCTCCGCCTCCACCGCCAGCACAATTAGTTGCTGCAGCACCTCAAACTCAAATGGTTGCTGCTCAAGCTCCAACACAAGTAGTTGCTGCTCAACCTCCAACTCAAGCAGTTGCTCAAGCCCCAACGCAAGTAGTTGCTCAAGCTCCAATGCAAGTTGTTGCGGCTGAAGCTCCAACTCAAGTTGTTGCTGCTGAAGCTCCAGCTCAAGTTGTTGCTGCTGAAGCTCCAACTCAAGTTGTTGCTGCTGAACCTCCAACTCAAGTTGTTGCTGCTGAACCTCCAACTCAATTTGTTGCTGCTCAACCACGGCCACCAACTCGATTAGTTGCTGCTCAACCACGGCCTCCAACTCAAGTGGTTGCTGCTGCACCTCGACCTAAAGTAGTTGCCGCTCAACCACCTCAGATAGCTCTACAAGTTGAAGAAGAAGTTGAACCAGTAGAAAATGTTGAAGTACAACAAGCCCCAATAGTTCAACAAGAAATGGTGGAAGAACCAGACCAAAATCAAGTATATGTTCCTCAGACTCGTCCAAAAGTTGTTCAAGCGGTTGAACAAGTAGCGCAAGAAGTCGAAGCACCTGTGTTAACAGAAGAATGTCAATCAAACACCGAAAGTCCAGATAATCAGGATCAAGATTCTGAAGATAACAGCCCAGATTTAATTCAAAATGTTGAGCCAGTCCAAGAAGTTGTGAAAGAAAAAGCCGCACAATGCCAACTGAACAGTGATGAAAATCTTCCGTCGTTTGAATCCGAAGAGATATCAAATCCCGAAGACTATCAAGATGATGAAAACTCAATTGATGAACCTCAAGATATTCAAACTGATGCATCAAATTTAAATGAAGATCAGCAGCAAAATCTTCCTTCACAGTTTAACCAGTTTGAAGATATTAGTCAAAAAAACAATCAGGAACAATCATACCAACCAGCCCGTTTTCCAACAGCAAAATATAAAAAAAAGCATCGAGGCCGACAAAAGCCTTTTCCGTTCGGAGATGTTGACTATGATCTTCAAAATTACCCAGATCCATCTGAAACACCAAATCAATCTAGTGACTCTATGGTTAATGGAAATATTGATCCTGACCGGTATACTGAAAAACTGAGAAGAAGAAAAAAAAAATTTCCAAACCAAATATATGATGGGCAAGTAGATTTGGATGATCAGGATAGTAATAACAATTATGATCAAAAAACTCCACTCTTTTCAAAAAGACGAAAAAACCAGAAAACTCAGTACAAAAATAGTAGTCAAATGTCTCGATTACTGCAAGCTCAACTAGCTAATATTCTTTTAAACAACCTTGATCTTCAAACCAAAAATCAGCGCAAGGATTCAAAAAAATCAAATAATAAAAATACAGAACTCCAAGACATTGATCATGATTTTAAAAACGACGATAATTATAAGGTACCAAAACTTAAATCTAATCAAAAAAATGTTTGGAACATTTTAATGAAGATATTGCAATCGTCGAAGCAACGTGATAACAAGAAACTTGGTGATAAGAGCATGTTAAGTAAAAATGTTGCAGAAAGGATTCTTTTCAAAACAGCTATAAAAGCAAACAAGTTGCTGCAAAAAATTTCCAAGCCAAAATTAGATACAAAAAAGGCTTTTTTTAAAAAATTGGAATCATTTAAAAAAGTCAAAAACACAAAAAAACATTACAAAAAACAAACAAAAAAAAACCTGCCAAAAAAGTCTAATGAAAAACATTTAACAAATAAAAACTTTAACGATACTGTCTTTAAAATACCAAAAAGTATAAAGAAGCACCAACCTGTAAACGTGTGGCTTAGGAGTCTTTGAGGACTACTTTGCCCAATTTTTTCTCTTAGATTTTTTTTATTAATTATTTGTTATATTTAAAGTCAAAAAAAGACGTAATAAAATGATTTCTAAATTAAATTAAATATGACTTTATTAAATTGAATTAAATATTACTTTATTAAATTGAATTAAATATTACTTTATTTAAATGTAACTTTATTATATTTAAAATGACATATATATATATATATATATATATATATATATATATATATATATATATATATATATATATATATATATATATATATATATATAAATTGTACATAAAAATTAATTATATTAGTAATATATTGATAAATATTTATTTTAGATTTTTACGATATAAATACGATGAACTTTTAAAAGTAAAAACATTCTTTATTTTTCAAAACTTACGTTTTTTTATTTGTTTGTCTCGGATTAAAAGTTGAGTCCACTATACAGGGTCAACAACGTCGTGAGACCATATGCCTCCCTCCCCCCACCCCACCTTTCACACACTTTTTTTGAAAAGAATTTTTTTTTTTTTTTAAGAAATAGGCAATTATGCCCTCACCTTCGAAACCTGTGTTGTTGACCATGCTATAGCCGAAGAAGCTGATAATTTTTTTTAATTTTTCAAAATTCTTGTTACAACTGGGGAATTATAGGATTCTTTCCAACACTAATCAAAACATACACATACATATAATACAAACTTTAAAGGAAACGGCCACAGAGTGGAGGAAAAAATTGACCCTATTGCTAGCTTTAAAATGATGGGATTAAATTTTGTATTTCTTGCTTACAAAGCAAGCGAGAAATGCCAAATACCAACCTTTACCATTTCACAATTATTGCTTACCTGTACCTATTGCACTAATACGAGTAACTTTATTTTAAAAAAAAGTCTACTTTAAGTAAAAATTTATAGATATAACAATAAAATTAACATATTTCTTTAACTTTATAAAAAGAACGCGGAGAGTCGAATAAGATCACATGATCTTGTCATTGAGAACTGCTTAGTTAAATCAAGGACGTAAAATAAGATTAAAATTAAAGATTAAGATAATCTTATTTTACGTCCTTCGTTAAATAGAATAAATAAATAAATTTAAAAAAATATAGAGTAAACGGGGTAAGAGTAAACAAAAAAAAAAAAGAAAGTGAACGGTACAGCAATTTTGTTTCTTTTGCATTTATTGAAAGGTAAAACAAAAAATCTTTAAAAATGCGAGGCGCCGTATTGTAGAGAATTTTGTGCTTTATCTAAAGGTGTAAAAAATCGTTTTAAAAAGTTTATTTTGCCTCAACAAACTTTAAAATTCTCACCCTAATAAAAAAAAAAGGTTTTTTCAAAAAAATTAACTTCAAAACTCATAAAACTAAAATTCAATTTTACTAAACTAAAAAGGCTGTTTTGTTTGATTTTGTTTTTTAAATTTGTTTTGTAGAAAATTTTATGACGATTAAGGTTCTCTTTTCAAAATTGAACTTGTTTGCAAAAAACCAATTGTTTTTATAGGGGAAGTGTAAACATGCTAATTGCTACCACTTACGCATAAAGATAAGCGCGGCTAAACTAATTAATAGTTATCTACTATCTAACTAAAATAAATATGACAGCCTTTGCTATCTATCTTAACAATTTTTAAAACAAATTAACTCGTACTTACATTCGTAAAACGCAAACAACTTACAGTGAAGAGTAATTGCAACTTGCTGTAAAGCAAATCATAAAAAAGAAATATCACTCAGTAAAGATTCAGAGGCATACAACATACCAAAGGTAACTCTTCACTAGCGTGTACACAACAAAGTCCAATCACATGGTAGAGGTACAACTACCGTACTAAGTACAGCATTTAAATTTGCTTTTTTTTCAGTATTTATCAGTTTAGCCGATTGACAGAACGTTTGCAGATGTCATTGCAATAGTTAGGGGGATATGTTGTATCTACAAATCAAAATCATCTGCTTCTTCCATGTGGTACACCATGACGAGAATGATATTAAGGTTTCACGAAAGACGGAGTTAAAAGTTAAGCGCCAGAGTAGCAGGCAATATTTCGTCTCTCAAAGTTTTCTCTTGTACCGAAGGCAAAATAACAAGTTACTGCAATACACTTCAAAAACAATTTTTTTTTTTTTTTTTTTAAGGCAAATATTAATAATAACACTGCGTGCAATTTGTGGAATTTTGACGAAATTGAATTTTCCGGCGATCAAGGTAAAAAGCATAAAACTTGTAGGCTCGGTGCTAAACGCCCTTTAAAATAGGTTGGTAACAACGAAAAAATTATTTACGTCTTCTTTCCTAATTGTGTCAATGCTACCGTTACCATTCTGCCACCATTCGTAGTTTACAAACCAATGTAACGACTGTACAAAGACTGGAGTGTAGGAGGACCACCAAACACCGTATTTACAACATCCAAGTCGGATTAGATTGAAGAGAAACAATTTATTCAATTGCTCACTAAAGTATTTTTACCGATCAAATTAATTCCAGGTAATTAGTTTGGTCTACTTAAACTGAGTAGTTTAATCAGTTATTCAACTAATCAAATTTTTTTAATTACAGCTATTCACATTTTAGTCTTGGACGGACACGTCACACATGTTACTTACGATATTGCACGCATTTGCATTGACAATAACATCAGACTGATATGTTTACCGGCTCATTCGTCCCACATACTTCAACTGTTAGACGCAGGTGTGTATTGTAAAGTTAAACGAGTTTGGCGCAAATTACTTACAGAATTTTATGCAGCTAAAAATTTCAACAACTTCACAAAAGAGAATTTTATTCAACTTCAAGCAAAACTTTTTAGCTCCGGTGACGCATTTACGCGAACACAAATATTCAATGGATTTCAAAACACTAATTTGTTACCACTTGATTTTTGCAAAATTGATCAATTAAAATTACAAAATGCTCAAACAAATTATATACCATCTGAGCCTGCTTTATTGTCTTTATGTGAGCCTGCTTCATCATCCTTAACCAAGCCTGTTTCACCATCTTATTGCAAGTCTGCTTCATCATTCTCAACCAAGCCTGTTTCATTATCCTCATCCGAACCTATATCATCATCTAACATCAGCTCAGCATCAAACGATCGCCAACTTCAAAATTTAACAAGAACACCTGTTCCTCCTGACTCAAACTGTTGACTCCTGCTCCAGCGTATCAAATGTTGCAGCACTTTACAGAAAGACTTAAAGGCGATTTGAAAAATATTTTACAGCACCACCATATTAAAACACACAAAAAAAAAATCAAGAGTCAACATTCTGAGAGTTGAAGGCCTGTCTATAAATACATCTGAGGTGCTCGAGAAACTAAAGCAAGACGGTGAGGCCAAAAAGTCAAAGCAAATAAAGTGAAGCTTCAGATGAAACTCAGCAGGTACAATATTCAAAAAAACCGAGACAAGACGAGGACATCAAGAGGTGCAAAAAAAGTTGCAAAGTTTGGGAAGAGACATTGCCGACTCAAAACAGAATGTGGTACGAATTTGAAGCTTTTGTCGAGAGATGGTAACGAAATGCATGTTGAACGCATTAGAACTCGTGAGTTTTTACTATGAATCAAAACGACATAATAAACTTAGATAAACAGTTGTAGACATGGAAAAAAAATTTCTAGTTCTAGTTGCAACTGGATTCATGCAAGTTGTGCAAAAAAGGCGTTGCTTCTGCATCTAGCAGAGAAAAATGAAAAAGAAACTGACACCGATCAATACAAGGCAAGTTGTGATTACATCTTCAGGTGAATCAAACAAAATCAAGAGGAAAGTACAGTGAGTTTGGTTACGTGATTAAAATAAGCGGAGTACTGTGCCTTTCCAAATGTTACAGAGGCAGTGAAAGATCATCGTGTTATTCTTTAAAATTGAAACAAAAACTCCTTAAAGGTAGGGAAGTAATTCTCGAAAAATGTATTGAAATTGGCCGAAAAATGGAAGTGTTAAAACAACAGGCAAAAGAAATGTCTGATAAAAAAGAAAATAAATGCACAGAGGACACTTAGTAGATCATTTAGAAAAAAACAATTATCTTAAAAATAATAAACGAAATGATATTACAAACAAAAAAAGGAAATAATTTGCTTTGTTTTCGATGTGGGGAAAGTACTTTGTTGGACACCAAAAAGATTGCAAAGCTATTAGCGAAATTTTTTTTAAATGTCAAAAGAAAAATCAATTTGCTAATTGTTGCCGAAATACTCTACAAGCATTGTATAGGACAAACCGGCAAGTTAAAGAGATAAATAATAAAGCTAAAAGTGAACACAGCTCAGAAAATAAATCAGAATAAACGCTTGCCCTGAATCAGATTGTCTTTTCTATGTTCAACATAGAAAAGACAAATGTAATCGTGGAAATCGTGGAAAATGTCACGATAAAAATGGTTATTAACTCAGTTTACGGTGTAAACTTAATCGATAAAAAAACGTTTGAAAAAATTAGAAACAACATTCCTTATTTAGTAATTAAGAACTCATCAACAACTATATTTCCATATGCTTTGATGCCTTTAAAATCAATTGATTGTTTCAAACCTTAAATTGAAGCTAAAAACAAAATAACTACTAACAATGTATACATCGTAGATAAAAATAATGTTGGAAACATAATGGGAATTGAAACTGCCAAGGTATTAAATATTTTGAAAATTGAAAAAATTGTAAAGTGTGTGATTAATAAAGATAAATATATGAATTTAGTGGATAATTAAATGAAGCTGTACAATATTCTAACGTGTGTAAAAATATTGATGACAAAATCAAACTTCCAACAAATCAAAATAATAATAGTTTTGAGCATATTGATACAAATTCTAAAGTCACATTAAATTTACGTCGTTACCCTTTTCACCTTCGAAAAGACATTTGAGCAGAGTTAAAGCAACTTCAAAAAGCAGATACTATATAAAAGTTGAAGGACCGCAAGAATGGATAAATAATTTTGTAATAGTACCAAAAGCAAATGAGATAGTAAGATTATGTTTTGATGCAAGAACAATGAACAAAGCAATTAAACGGGAAAGATACCCAATACTACTTTAGATTCTGTTTAGATTTTGTGTTCCTCAAGGTTCTGTTCTTGGTCCATTTTTATTCTTAACTTATGTTAATGACATAAACAACTCTATTTGTTTCTTGTCAACTCTGATGACACAATACTATTGCATATCAACAAATCCCATAATTCTCTATGTAAAAACATAAATTCGTATAATTCTATCATATTCTATCGTTTTCTATTATAAAATTGCATAATTCTATGTAAAAACATAAATTCGCATAATTCTATCATATTCTATTATTTTCTATTATAAAATCGCAAGGGACGGGAAAAATAATTACGTGGGCATGCGCAATATAAGTTTCAATATGTCTAAAGAAAAACTACGCATGCTCAGGTGATTATTTTTCCCTTTCCTATCCCGTTCCCGCAAAAAAACGGATGAGTGGAAACTCACCCTTAGTAAAAACTAGAAAATATTAAAATATATCAATGGAAATCCCCAGTTTTATTACACTAGACTGTGTATCATTTTATTAACTTGCATTTTAAGTGATAAAAAAGGAGAAAAACGGTTTCAAATGTGGAAAATAAATTTCGGACTTCCCTTTTGACATACACCCTGAGTAAAATTTTTATCAATTTTTATTGTTTAACTATTACCAGGAGATAAAATTAGTTAGTAAAAACTAGTATATATCAAAATATATCAATTGACATCCCCTGTTTTATTACACTAGACTGTGTATTATTTTAATAACTTGAATTTTAAGTAATAAATAAGGAGAAAAAATGTTTCAAATAAGAAAAATAAATTTCGGACTTCCTTTTGCCATACACCCTACTTAATTTGTGTTTTAGTAAATTAATTTTATTAAACATTTAACATGGCAGATGATTAGTTCAAAATGTTGCTTAATTCACAAGTTTATATAGCATTTTAAAGAAAAAGTTAGTATGTTAAAGAAAGCATTATTTTTTTTTAAAGTTAGGCGACCAAATATCATATTAATTGTGTAGAACTTTTGATATCATGATATCCTTTGGATACAAGAAAGGAAGACAGAGTTATTACAAGTAGAAGCTGTTAATAGTTGGATTGATAAAAACTAGTATTTGTGCCTTGGTTTTCTTTAATAATCAAGAAAATTTTAGACTTATTATGTATAAATTTTAAATAAATCATATTGTTTATCCTTTATGAGAATCATGATAATTGTAATAGGAACTATGATGAACCACATAAAAGAAAAACTTGTTTACTTTGTATTTTAATAAAAGCTATTACTGATTTTCTTTGATTGTTATAAAATGTGAAACTGTGGCATGGATACTTTACGAAAGTTTTTTATACCTGTGGTTTTTTGTCTCAAAGAATGTCATTGATGGTGCAGCCCTTGCTACTGCTTCTTCTACTGAAGTTAATAACAAATTTTGATTTTATTAATGCACTGTGTATAACAAGACATGTTTTTAATATAACTTTTTTGATTACTCAATTTTGCAATCAAGTAATAATGAAAATTTTAATAGTTTAAATCTTATTCAAGCATTAAAAGTTTTTGTCTTTATAGTTAAAAATATTATTAGAAATATTATTACTCAACACCTCCAAATATGCTTTAAACAAGCCTAAAAATTGCATTTCTAATTATTTTAACTTGCTTTTGTCTTTATAGTTAGAAATATTATTACTCAACACCTCCAAATATGCTTTAAACAGCCTAAAAATTGCATTTCTAATTATTTTAACTTGCTTTATCGCTGTTTCTTTGCTAGACTATCTGAGTTTTATCTAGATTACTGAGTTTAACACAATGTTTGATTGATACAATTTTTTTTTGGACTTACCCAAAAAATTTCCTGTAGACGCCCCTGAGGGTCATTTTTCGATCTTCCAGTTCAATTTGGGGCCTTGTGTATACTACAGGTAATACAACAACGAAATATAATTTTAAGAACAGGTCAATATTCTAGATTAGAAAAGCTAAAAAGAAAATTTACAAATTTTATATATTTTTGAAACTCACGTTTCCGAGCTTTTTACTCGCAAAACTACCGGTACCGACGTACATGGTATCATTCCTAATTCAGTTATCGCAATATCGACAAATTTTGATGGTGTTACATCGTAAACTAAGTTCAGAAGATAAAGAGATTTGATTTCTCTCCATCCAATTAAAACGTCTGATAATGCAGGGTTGTTAAGGTTTACTATGACGTCAGGATCAGCTGTTACATAAAAAAAAATTGACAAATCAATCAAATAAAATACAAATAAAACAATGAGTACATGAAAGATTCTATAATTATCTATAAATATTATATAATTTGATAATTATTTTAAAAAAGAGAAAAAAAGTAAATAAGTACAAACATTTATTTTTGTTTTGCTTTAAACTTAAAAATAATAATTGAATATATTTTTTAATTTAGAAACAAAAAATATCATAACTTTGCAACGCCTAAAGACAATTAGATGAAATTAAATTTTGATTTTAATCAATTTTATTACTTACCCTTTGAATTTCGTTTAACTACTAACAAAACTATTGGCTTATGTTGTACTCTTGTCGGACCATTTACTAATTCGTAATGTTTTATTAGGTCCATTAGAGAGAAAAAGTTCGCTTAAATAAAGCTTTGTTTCAAATAATCTTCAGTTTGCAGGCGGTTTTGATTTGAATAAGCTTCAATTAAATTATTATTCAGTAGCTATTGTTTACAATCTATGCATATATATTATTGAGTATATCATATATATTTTAATAATATATCATATATCAAATCTCTAATGTTATATCTATATAACATAATAATAGTATCATAAGAAACCAGTTGTATGTGTGTGCAGACAACTCAACGATGTTTTGTTACAACCAGTTGTATGTGTGTGCAGACAACTCAACGATGTTTTGCTACAACCATATTCATTAACTTAAGTATATTGTGTGAGTCAAGGCTATTTAGAATAAATAATTGAAGCTTGACAAAACAAATTTTGGAAGAAATGATTTTGTAAACCAAAGCAATAAAATCCTTGCTCTGTCTAACAACTGTTTGAAACACTTTATGCAGTTCCTTCAAGGTCATTTTCAATTTCAAAACTGTAGAAGAAACTGAGAAACTTATTAAGTTTTCCTCTTAACAGAAAAATGTAGCGGGAAAGAGTTTTGAATTGACACTATTACAGTGATGGCTTCCGATCACCTGATGTACGCCTATGATCACCTGATGTACGCCTATAATTTAATAGCAACTATTTTTCTTAGACAATAATAAAATCCGAAAAACATTTTGCAAAAAAAAAAAATTCGGAATTTATTTTCCTTAATTTATGTCTTAATTTAGTTTTAAACTTGTGCTTAATTTTTGTTTTTATTTTTTTGAAGGGAGACCGAAAACTGATTGACGTTAAATAACATATATTGCAAATATATATATTTAAATTTGCAATTTGCAAGGAAAACATTTTGGAAATCCGAAAAAACTAAAGTTTTATAGAAATAATTTTTATTTAAGGAAAAAATTTGAAAAAAGAAAAACCCGTAGTTTTAGTTAACCCCCTGCTTCTAGTTGCTGTAAAACAAGCATTTGTATCTAATGCACATTTTTCATTTCAATTTCCAGATTTTACATGCTGAGTATACGCGTCTATACCCAACGAGTATGTTGGCCACTTTTGTGTAGCATTTACGATAAATGACGTGCTGTAGTAGCTATGATGATAAAAAATGTCCAATAGTAGTTTAAATTTATCAATTGATGTTGCCTTGATGGCATTATCTGGCAAATTCCAGTCATTTAATACACGGTTGTTGAAAAACTTATGTCTGACTTTGCAGTTTCTGACAATCTCACGATAAAATCTGGTTCAATGTTTCCCAAATGTCAATGTTTCTTGATACGAACGCGTGTTTAAGAATTCCGACATGTTATTTGCTTTGTCTGCAGCTATATTGCACTGTTGAGCATATTTAAGATTTTCAGAGATTAGAATTCCGAGATCTTTTTAGTAATTTATATAGCTGTGGCCAAAAGTCTGTTGTATACTCAAATATAACTGCATTTTGCGTCATTTTGCTGTTTTAAGCTTGTTGAAAGCCAAATGAACAAAAAAGATGTTAGTTTTATTACTTGAACTAATTGAGATAATCTTTTATTTAAATGAAATAGTTTCATTTGAAATATACTTTTCTAAACTACTAAATGAAATAGTTTCATTTGAGATATAATTTTATGAGATATACTTTTATTTAATGAAATAGTTTCATTTCTTCATTGTTTATGAACAAGCACTTATGAACAGTCACAGTAAAAGGATGAAGGGAAAATATATGCTGCCATCCCCTTAATGTGTTCTATATGATAAAAACTGGTTTTAAAAATTTTTTGAATTAAAAATATTTTTAGAGGTCCCCCCAGACCCTTGAACATATAACATGAAAAATTCTTAAAAAAAAAAAATCATATGATTTTTTTCAAAAATGTTAATTATTTTATAAAAATTGTAAAAAAAACTTATTAAGATGCACTTTTTTTTTTGTTTAGTTTTTTTGTTTTGTTTACTAAACTTTATTTTTAATGCTGTGAAGTCATTTGTTTTTATATAAGATAGTTATCATTTTTATAATTTTTATATAATTTTGCTTGTTTTGAGCCAACATGATAATTTTTTGAAGAATTTTTTTTTTGATAATTTTAGGAACTTTTTATGTTCAAAGGTCTTGGGGGACCCCTAAAAATATTTTAGATTAAAAACATTTTTAAAACCAGTGTTTTTTTATCATTTAGAACACATTTAGGGGGTGGCAGCATATATTTTTCAAAAATGTTGTTTTTTTGGATACCCTATACATGCACATGTATATGTACATATATATATATATATATATATATATATATATATATATATATATATATATATATATATATATATATATATATATATATATATATATATATATATATATATATATATGTATATATATATATATATATATATATATATATATATATATATATATATATATATATATATATATATATATATATATATATATATATATATATATATATATATATATATATGTAATATATTTATGATTTTTTTTGCTTACTTTATATACTTGACAAACTTTTTTTGCTTACTATTCTATACAGTTTTTTTACTTAAACCTATCATGTAGGATGTGTCAATTTTAGATATTTTTTTTAATGGTTTAATAAAATTTGGGATATTTGCAAAAGTTGTCAAATTTTATAGTTTATCTGATATAATTTTTTATATCAGAAAAATATTTACTTAGGTGATTTTTTTATGAAAGTATAAACAGTTTTTGCTTTCTTTTAATCGGAATAACAACATTACCAGACATTACCAGCGAATATTGTCCGTAAAATAAACAGACTTTTAAATAACAAAACAAAGTTACATTTAGTTAAAGTTACAACTCAATATGTATAAAACTTTTTTAACAAATTTTTTAATAAATGCATAAAATAACTTTTAATTTTTCAATAAAGTGTGATTTCGGTAATGAAATAGAATTAATTAATGACATTGATGAAATACTTTCTACTGATGTAGAATTACTTCTAGTGCTAGCGAAACCATCAGAAAAAGTAAAAAGTGTTACAAAACCTTAGACATTTCAAATGTAGCAATGAATAACGTAAGGTATAAGTTTTTCAAATAAGTTTATTTATTAATGATGCATTTATACTTATGCATAAATAAATAAATAAATAAATATATATATATATATATATATATATATATATATATATATATATATATATATATATATATATATATATATATATATATATATATATATATATATATCTTAACTTAGTTAGTAATGACTTTCTATTTAAAATATGTAAATTTTCCTCACATAGATGTGAAGTGTCTGCACATGCTACAGCTGCAATTGCAACAGCAACACTTATTGATGCAGGAGTAATAACATCTGATGATAAAAAGTTAGTTATCGACCATAGTAAAGTTACAAGAAAAAATTATCTCCGATCTTAGTAAGGATTTTGACAAATTAGCAAAGAGTGGAGAAATGAAATGCATGTTTTTGATGGGAAAATTGATCAAACCAAACAAATGATTGAACTTGATGACTCAAATGCAAAATTTCCAGAAACCTATAAGAAAATATTAATTTCACTTTATCCTGAGAAAGCAACAAAAAGTGTTAACCATGCAGAGATTATAGCAAATAAAATTGTTGAATGGTTGACTGAGAGAGGCATTGACAAGTCTTTACTAGGTGTTGGTAGTAATTGTAAATACTGGTTGAGAGGGTGGAGTGATCAAACATATATACAAAACAATTGAGATAAAAACTTGTTTGGCTTATACATCAACTCCATAATAATGAGTTGCCACTGAGGCATCTTATAACTAACTCAGATGGCCAAACAAAATCTAGCAATAAATGGTCTGGTGTTATGCTGTCCATGCTTGATATGGCTACAGATCTAGATATAAATCCAGTACTTAAAACTATTAAAATTGGCAATCCACTTATTTTTCTCAATGATAAAATAATAAATGAGTTGTCTGCAGATCAATTTTGTGGTTATTGAGTTGTTTGTGCCATTAGAAGTGGTATTTTACCGCCATAATTTCATTTATAACAAATTGGACCTGTTTCACATTCAAGATGGTTAATTACTGCTAACAGAATATGTAGAATATGGATTTCTAAACATGGAATTCAGGGTAAAGACTTTGAAAATTTAAGGTCTATTACCGAGTACATTGTGGGTGCTTATTTTACTTACTAGTTTAAGATCAAAGTTGAGTATTCTTGGATTAAAGGTTCTAAACATGTACTTTACCAGCTGCAGCAATCTAAATTTCAAAAAGAAGGTGTCATTAAAATAGTATAACCCTCTATTCAAAAATCAGCTTGGTTTTGTTTCAGTGAGTGTATACTACAAACTTTATTGTGTTCTAATAATGTAAAAGTGTAGCTACTAATAAGATAAAAAAATTAGAGGTACATGAAATGAAGATCTACAAAAAGGTGATTTGTAGACCAAGAAAAACTCCTGTTCTGAACTTTAATGCTGAAAAACTGGTAGATATGATATCATGGGAATCACTGGTTTATGAACCAGTCTTAACTACCTCTCTAACAACTTCTGGAATCAATGTGTTTTTATCAAATACTATGCAGATGCCGATTTGGCCATGTCATGGACAATCTGTTGAACGTTGCATAAAGCAAGTTATTGAAGCTTTAAGTAGAGAGTGCACTCATAAAAAAAGGAGAAGGATTTGTCCTGTTTCAAGAGGCGAGCAGAAAGTTAATACCTAAAAGTAATAAAGGCCTTGAAAGTTTAACACAAATGTTTTTGCATTTAATTTATAACATTTATTGAAATAATTCAGCTTCTTAAAAAAATATCTCACTATACTTTTTTTAAAAAAAAATACAGTGAGATATTTTTAAAAAAATACAGTGAGATTAAGTCTTATTTTTTAAAAATACTGTATTTTTTTTTTTTTTTTCTTTTAAATATCTCACTGTATTTCTAATCTCAATACCAATAAAATTAATATGTGATATTAGGCCAAACTGTATTTAAAATACATTGAAAAAAATTTTAATATTTATAAATTAAGTCTACTTTTAAAATAAAAATCGACACACGCTACTAACAGGCCTTGTTATGAGATTTTGTTATGTAATGGAGAAGTGTAAAGTAAGTTAATGTAATTTTTCTCAATAAATTATTAAAATTGTTAAAATGTCAGTTGCATATTTTAAAGTACCCCACATTGTAATTAAATTTAATTAGAAACCACATTAAAAATCAGTCAAAGTCTTTATCTTTATAAAATATTTAGAAAATATTTTTAAATTAAACAATATTGTTATAAAATAAATTTATCAATAAAAATTTAGATGTATTTAAATTTTGTTGATAAATAAAAAAAAAAAAAAAAATTCCTTATTTAAAAAAAACTTATACTTATGCTAATTATTTATAAAATATTCTGAATGCAATATTCTTAACACAACATTCTTAACACAACATTCTTAACACAACATTCTCAACACAACATTCTTAACACAACATTCTTAACACAATATTCTTAACACAACATTCTCAACACAACATTCTTAACACAACATTCTTAACACAATATTCTTAACACAACATTCTTAACACAACATTCTTAACACAATATTCTTAACACAATATTCTTAACACAACATTCTTAACACAATATTCTTAACACAACATTCTCAACACAACATTCTTAACACAACATTCTTAACACAATATTCTTAACACAACATTCTCAACACAACATTCTTAACACAACATTCTTAACACAATATTCTTAACACAACATTCTTAACACAACATTCTTAACACAACATTCTTAACACAATATTCTTAACACAATATTCTTAACACAACATTCTTAACACAATATTCTTAACACAACATTCTTAACACAACATTCTTAACACAACATTCTTAACACAACATTCTTAACACAACATTCTTAACACAACATTCTTAACACAATATTCTTAACACAACATTCTCAACACAACATTCTTAACACAACATTCTTAACACAATATTCTTAACACAACATTCTCAACACAACATTCTTAACACAACATTCTTAACACAATATTCTTAACACAACATTCTTAACACAACATTCTTAACACAACATTCTTAACACAATATTCTTAACACAACATTCTTAACACAATATTCTTAACACAACATTCTCAACACAACATTCTTAACACAACATTCTTAACACAATATTCTTAACACAACATTCTTAACACAACATTCTTAACACAACATTCTTAACACAATATTCTTAACACAACATTCTTAACACAACATTCTTAACACAACATTCTTAACACAACATTCTTAACACAATATTCTTAACACATTCTTAACACAACATTATTTTTTAATGTTTGCTTTATCATAATTTAGTTCTTTTTTTTTCAATGAGGGGGAACTGATTATGGTTATGAAACTTAATAGTCAATACTTAATTTTTTTTATTAACTTTAAAATAAACGATTTTTAATAACATTTTTAAACAAACTTTCAAATAAACAAGCTTCAAATACTTTCAAGATTAGGTAAATGACTTTGGTCTATCAAAATTTGAAATCACTTAATATGCCACTTCAGCATATATTTTCAAAATCATATTATTCCACAGTTTTTTTTTAGGGGTTTAAAAATTAAAAAAATTAAAAAATATTAACAGTTTTTTTTTGGCTTTGGCTTAAACAAAATCTTTGCCAACTTATCATAAACTAGGTAAACATTCATTATATAGTCAATCTAAAAAATTAATGATAAAAAACTTTTGCTAAAAAATTATCTCAAAACTAAATCAAAACAAAATTATTTTTTCATAAATTTGTTATACAACATTTACTAAAAAAATCTTTTGAAACAATTTTTCCTACAGATTTAATTAGGGTTATCCAACAAAGCATTTATATTCAGTTTGTTGGTTATCCAAAAAGAATTTATATTCAGTTTGTTGGTTATCCAACAAAGCATTTATATTCAGTTGTACAAGTGCATTAAGCATTTTTATATTTGCAATTTTGTAACATTATTAAAAAAAAATTGATTAGTAACTATAAATAAATAACCTAAACAGTTAAATGTAAAACAAATATTAAAAAAAAATTGAATTAAATTTATTTAAAAAAATTTTTCTTTAACAAAAAACTGTCAAAAACTGCATGATGTAATGGATGACCCCAAAAAAAATTTAATTTAAAAATTTTTTTAAATGAAAAATAGAAAAAAATTTATGTTTTTTTCTCAAAACAAAAAAAAAAAAAAAAAAAAAAAAAATTTATAATTGCAGTGAAAAGGTTTTTACAACAATTAATTACTGCCTTATGTTTTCTGCCTAAAATATTTCAAAAGACTGTTTAAACATCTAAGGGATTATCCATAAAATACGCAACACTAAATTTGTTTTTAAAAAAAAAAAAAAGGCAATCTTTACGCGGAAATTTTCAATAAATTTATTAAGTTGTTTTTATTTTTTAATTAACTTAATGCTCTATGAGGGAAAACTTTTGATCTTCTTTGTTTTGTTTATTAGCAAAATTTGGCGTTGTGTAATGATCGCTAATTGAAAAAGCTTTTGCATTATGTAAATGGCTTAATGTGTAGGTAAAATTGCCATTATGTACTTAAAATTCTCACAGCGTAACATTTCTTAACAAGGTCTATGTATATATATATATATATATATATATATATATATATATATATATATATATATATATATATATATATATATATATATATATATATATATATATATATATATAGCCTAAATAAAAGTCACACAGAAGAAAACACACAGAAAACACAAAGAAGAAAAGTCAGGGGTCCAGACATCAAATGTTTCTAGTTTTTTTTAGTTTAACATTTTACCTTTTTTTTTTGTTAACAATCTTTATTGTAATATGCCATATAAAACTTATATGGTATATTATAATAATGTTTATTAACAATTCCACCATATTAAATTTGCTAAAACTAAAACATTCCAAGATATCAACAGCATTAATAGAAAAACAAAAAGCACAAAAAAAAAAAAAAATTAGTATAAAGCTTTGTAAACATTTTATATTTTAATTTGCAAACAAGACAAACCTAATTCGTTATAAACAAAAGCATCAGTTTGTACTCTTTCACAAAACTTATATGTTTCACAACAAGCCAACACAGGTACATTGTTTGCCTTTGCTACCATACATACCATAGCACAACCAGCACTGCCCATGACATTTCCATTTGCAAGCAATGCATGAGCACCAATAAAAACACTGGTTACCTCAAAATAAAATACTAAAATTCAAGATTTAAATACAAATGAAAATTCAAGACATAACTTAGAAAAATTATATAAAAACCTAAAAATGTCATAGTTCATTTAGTTAATCCTGATCACCTGATCTATAATTCTACATATCACTTGTAATCAAAATTTGTAAATTCTCAAATATAATAATAGACCTCCTAATGAACAATATTTCAGAAAAACATTGTTTACAAATATCACATTTTATTATTGTACAGACTTTAGAAAAAAATAATGTATACTAAAAAAATATATCTCAAAAGCAAGAATGTGAATGTAAAAAGCTATAAAAATTCCCAAAAAAGACTTTAAAATTTAAGTTTCAATTATAGTTAAATTTTAATTACAGGGTATATTTATTTCTATAAATAGTAATAATAATCTTGCATATTTTTAATTTTAGTGCAATTATCAAAGAAACGAACATTATGTAAAATTTGAAACAGAAAATGTGCTAAATATACTCTTAATTTTGCTGATATCACAATTAAAACAAATCGTTTTACTTTCGCCTGTCATGTATATGGTAAAATTTATTAAATTAAAATAAAATATTGTTGACTTATATGTACTCTCTTCTTTGCAAACAAATGCATATATGTACGCTTCTTTGCAGGGAAATAGATATACACTTCTTGGTAGATAAATAGATATATACCCTCTCCTTTAAAAATATATGAATACCTAATATCACATTTATCAAATATAAAATCTATTTAATAATTTGTAGTAACAATGAAGATAATTTTGCCACAAAATATGCATAAGCTTATAACATACTTCTTTCATAATGTAAGATATTGCTGAAATTAATACATATGAGCATTTTATTCCAACATTTGCTAATCTTGTGAGACTTTCTCGCCCTAAATTTTAATGAAAAATAAAAAATCAACTTTTATAAACAAAGTATTACATAATAATTAGGGCAAAGTTATCCGTGATAAAAAAACAACAAAATAAAACATTAAACAGCGTATAAAATAAAGTAAGAATAAAAAAGGGGTCTAGTATTTGCCATTTATCATTTTCCCTTTATCGTTTATGTTATAATATATTTATGTGAATATGTGATTATATATTTGCATGACATTGATAATGGAGTGCAGGTTATTACAACAACTTTTTCAGAGTTTTGGAAAAAGTATGGAAAGCAGAAAAAAAAACATAATGATAATAATGTTGATGATGATAATGATGATGATAATAATGATGTCAATAATGATAACTTTTACATTATTACTATTACCATAACAAAACTGAAAATTTTCACATATATATGCATATGTAAAACTATATATGCAATGAAAATATATATGCATATGTGAATATACATGCATATGATAATGAAGGCCTCAACAGAAGAACAATCAGAGCCACACTTGCTGTTTTGAGAAAATCAATTTTTAAAATTTGAAACACCATTATATAGTTCAATAAATTATAATCACCATAATTTCATAACTCAAGATTCTGATCATTTTTAAAGCTCTTATAACTCAAGACTCCGATTGTTTTTTGATTAGTCACTTCAGGGAGACAAAGTATGAACCCAGGGCTACAATAAAAGGGCAATAAATATTTACATTCATACAGATATGTAAAAATGCTTACAAACATATTCAAATCAATTTTGGATTTATTTTAGCAATATAAAAAAAATTCACCTTGAAAATCAGGTCTGGAATCAACGATAACAACTTGAAACTGTTTTCCATTTGCATTTGCGTCTTTTAAAACTTTTATAATCAAAGATGAACTAAAAATAATTTTTAACATAAAATAACAGACAACACAGCTCAGATTCATATTCACTATTAATAACTGATATTGTAAAAATCCATTTACTATTTTATCAAAAATAATTCATCCCGGTTCAGGACAGTGAAAAATGACAAACCTTCAATACATCCATTAACTATTTGCTTTTAAATGTTATGTACAAAATGCAAATAACTTTAGTATGAACTATATTAATCTACTTTTAAACTTAAGTATTTTCTGGACCAAAGTAAGTTTAAAAAAGTTGTACAAGTTTGTATTTGTAAAACGTTTTTAAGAGCAGAGTTGTATTTTTACTAGAATCATTTCTGTTTTAATGAAAGTACCTTGTTTATACAAATAAGTTATATTAATTACTTTTGCTGTCATAATTTTTCACAACCTAAAAAACTTAAATTAATTTAAATTAATTTATCTGTTTGCTTATCGTATTTTGCTCATCACAAATCATCAAACAGCATGTAAAGAAATTAATTGTTAAAAATAATCTAAATACTTTAGGCCCAAATACTTTTACCTTCACTTCTAATTGGGGTGGGGAGCTTCAGGTGGAGTTAAAATATGAGAATTAGAAGCTACTAAATTATACGAATTGTAAATTGAATAAATCCTAAACAAATGTGAAAAAATTTTAAATTTTGATGAATAATGTAATTTGATGTTTATTTATTGTTTATTATTGTATAATGTAATTTGATGTTTATTTATTGTTGTTTTCTCAGTGCATTTGCACGATGCATCTAAATATATATATATATATATATATATATATATATATATATATATATATATATATATATATATATATATATATATATAAATATATATATATATATATATATATATATATATATATATATATATATATATATATATATATATATATATATATATATATATATATATATATATATATATATATATATATATATATATATATATATATATATATATATATATATATATATATATATATATATATATATATATATATATATATATATATACTCTTGCATGTCTCTTGCGTAGCATCAAAAAATGTTTCCCATAAACTGTAGTTTTAAAGAGCGCGTTAATAAACCAGACCAGAAAAAGTTTTAAAAATTAAATTTTTTTTTTTGATTGATAGACTGCCTGGCCAAACCAAACCCTCAGTGGATGTAGCAGCACTCTCTTGCGAGTCAGGCTATTTGTCAGTCGTTGTAGCAGCACTCCCTTGCGAGTCAGGCTATTTGTCAGTTGATGTAGCAGCATTCCCTTGTGAGTCAGGCTACTTGTCAGTCGATGTAGCAGCACTCTGTTGCGAGTCAGGCTATTTGTCAGTCGATGTAGCAGCACTCCGTTGCGAGTCAGGCTATTTGTCAGTCGATGTAGCAGCACTCCGTTACGAGTCAGGCTATAAGATAGTCAATGTAGCAACATTTACGCATGTTTAAAAAATGTTTTTTATTACATCAATAACAAAAACACCACTAATTAAAAAAAACTTTCTAGTCGTTATAATTGCGGTTTTTTAAAAATTTTTTAAAAAACAATTAAATTTAATGTACTTCCGCATAAATTAATTGCTTTGACATTTCGATGACAATCAAAAACAGCTTAAGAGACGAGGTAATTAAAATTGTAGTCGTAAGAGACTTTTTTTACATTAAAATGCTCTTAAAGCTACACTATATGGGTATATATATATATATACATATATATATATATATATATATATATATATATATATATATATATATATATATATATATATATATATATATATATATATATATATATATATATATATATATATATATATATATATATATATATATATATATACATATTTAAAAAGTTGTTTAACTTTATTTTTTTTTTCCATTTTAAAAAATATCAATATTTAAAAAATATATATATATTTAAAATGCTGTTTAACTTTATTAAAAGTGTTTTTAAATTTTTAAAAACACTTTGTTAAATCATTTTAAAAAATATCTAAGATTGGCATTTTTAGTCTTTAAATGTGGGCTGAATGACTGGAATTAGCCTAAAAAGGAATGGCTGGAATTAGCCTTAAAAGTAGCAACAAGAAAAAAAATCTGTATCTTTGCGCTGAAAAAAAAATTTATCTTAGATCCGAATATTTTTCAGATTTAAAAGTTGTTGAAGGCTTATTCTGTGTTGCTCAACAATTTTGACATTTTTTATCTTAAAGATGGGGTTCATTAAAACAACATTCATTTATTTCATCATATAGTCTTTTTTCTTCTTTTTAGTTTTTATATATCAATATCATAATCAGCATGTAATTATCACTGTTATCATGTATTTTGAATAATTTGTCAACTATAATATAAAAACTTCTTGACTTTAGACTAGGTCAATAAATTCACAGTATAATAATAAAAAAAACTCAATTGATGATGATTGTTTTAAGTATTTTTTTTGTGGTGCATGGATTATATAGGTGGAGCATGGATTATACGTGTGTTGCATGCATTATATATGTGCTGCATGCATTATATATGTGGTGCATGCATTATATAAATGCTTTTTGTAGTTAAGTGCAAAAACATTACTGATAGTGATAAATCATTACTAATGATAATAAGTAAAACATCAATTAGCTAACATCAGTAATCATAAGTAAAACATCAGTAAGTTAACATCAATAATTATAAGTAAACAGGAAGATCAGAACTTACATTGAAAACAAACTGTTGAAATTTTCAAAATGAGATTTTATTAATTTTTCTAAATCTAATAATAGTAATAAGACGAATTTGATAATAGCTGAGAGGAGGAGAATCAGATTTTTAACTTTTTTTAAATGGCAGATGTTGAATTCCAGCATTAATTTAGCCTTATCTTTAGAAAAATTATCAAAATATGCCCCAGGTATAAATAAATTAAGAAAATGAGTAAATAAAGACAAAGCATTAGTAAAAAATTCTTAAAATAGATGTAAGAAGCATGATATCTAATAGATTAAGACATAAGACAGAAATCAAGAAAATTAATAAGGATTGTCAGCCAAGTGAGTTTAAAAGTTAACCTGGTGGAGATATGGGAATTGTGGGATATGACATTTACAATATTTAAAAAAAAAAACTTTTAATTAATGCACAGCGAGTCAAAAAAATACTATGTTACCATGTAATAAAGTTACATAACCATGTAACCATAGTAACCACAAAAATTATGTAATCATCAAATTATCAGCTTGAAATAGAAGTTTTGTATTGAAAATTTATTAAAATTTTGTATAAATATAAAGCCCTTATAATTAGGGTCAATATTTGACAATGCCAACCTAACTGCCGAACTAGAAGAGTTTGAGATCAGCAAAAAATCTCTGATCTTGTTTCTGTCTTTTATGGAAAAACCTTTGTATCGATTTTTTTTTTTTTTTTGCCGACTGATGCCAATCTCTAAAGTATTAAGGTTGGCAAACTATTGTTGACAACTTTTCCTAATTCTGAGGGCTAAATACAAAATCCTATATAAATTAAAATTAAATTTACATAAGTTAGATAATTTCATATTCAGATTTTAAATTTGAATTTTAAAAAAATTATTTTTATATAACGTTATAATATGTTGTACAAAAAAAATTTGTGCATAACGTTACATTGTAATGTTATATAAATGTTATAAGAATGTTAAATTTACATTTATCAGATAAATACATTTTTATACATAATTATAATAAATTATTGTTACAACACTTGTATTCAAAGCTGAGAAAACATAACATGAAATATATTGACACCAGTGTTTTTGGGATCAAAAAAATTAAATTTGTTAATAAAAACAAAAATTATGCGTCTTAGGTGTTTTGTTTAAGCACAAAAATAATGATTTAAAAAACAAATTTGGCTTTCTTGATCCAAAATACCATATAAGAATACTATGCATTTTAATAAAAAAAAAATTATGTGTACCTAAGTTGCGTATTATACATCTTAGTGCTAGAGTTGTTTACATGAACCATATTATTATGTATTGTGTGTTTTGATTGTTTGACTAAATATTACGTATATTTGAATAAATATTACGTATATTTGAATAAATATTACCTATATTTGAATAAATATTACGTATATATGAATAAATATTACGTATATTTATATAAATTTTGAATAAATTACGTATTTTGATTATTTGACTAAACAATTTTTTTATAATTAGTATGTAGGTCCATTTTAGTTTGAAAAACCCAAATTTTGTTTTTAAGTAAGTCTTTACTTGTGTAAACTTTTTTGTTACAGTATTATACAGTTTATATTTTGTTTATAGAAGTTAAATAAGTTAATTATTATTATATTATAATAATAATTAACTTATCGAACTTCTTTAAACAAAACAAAAAAATACAAACTACCAAAACAAAAAAGCATTACTTTTTTATTATGGCATTAACAAAGATAAAATTTCTGGGGTAGTGGTTTTACATTTTAAAATTTTTTTTTCAACTTCTGTTCAAAAGGTACTGGTACTGGTTTATCATAACATTTTTTGTAGATAACTTTGCTGCATGATTCAATCTAGCTTTGCAAATTTCCATATTCAGAGCTTCATCAGACTAGTAAACAATAGGAAGAGCCTTAGATATCTGCACTTCATCTTCCAAGAGTTTA